AGTGGCTCGTGGTCGCCGTTCATATGGAGGATTCGGGTGGCCATCTCTCTCACACGGGGATGAGATGGTGGCTGTGCACGTGAGTCCTCTTCCAGTATCCACTCTACTAGGAAGTTCTCCTGCTCCGGCGTCAATCGTTGTTGATTTGAGTGAGCTATCGCGTGTGGTTGTTGACCGCGTAGCCGGCCTCGCAGCGTCGATTCAGGGATCCCACACGCAGCAGCCGCCTTCCGCTGGCTCCTAAAAACACCAGAAACGAGACCATCAATAGCAGATTGGATAGCAACTTCCTTGGGATCCATTTTGGGTATGTGGCGTTGACAATAGATAGCTTCAAAAACAGAGGTACGCGTTGTGGTGGGGTGCGCGGGAACTATATGTGCGCGGAAAGTATATGGACTAGCTTATCGCCTTCCTCATGGAGCAGCTCTACGCGCTCAACTACCACTGCTCCTACCCATTCTCTGACTTGGTCTACTCCGGATCTCTATAGCTCCTCATAGTCCTTTTGGTTGTAGCCGCGTCTTTGGCCTGGGAGTCAATTACGGTCAACTTTCTTGCAACACTAAATTATACAACAGCTGTGGTACTTTTATCTGTCATATCAGTCTCGTCCTCTTCGCCTGGACAACCACAGTGGCTTGACCCCGATAACCGGACGTCATTTGCCGCCGCATCACGTCGACTTACGCACTCTTTTCTGGAACGTTTCCGCTGGTGCGGCACCCGACATGTGTTGCATACGCGCTCGGCTGGGCAGGTACTGTAGTGTACATCGGCACTATCGCAAGCATCGAAGAAGTAACTAAGCCAGCTAGACTGGCAGGACCGCTCCGGACCGTGCACCCTGTATATTCGGTGTTGGGGCTACTAGGGCTGTTGCGATGGTATTGCAGGGGTACTGTGGGAAGAAACGCCATTCATGTGTGATCATGATACGATGGGGGTCGAGTATCTGACTCATATGCGCAATGTGCCGCATCGTTAGATTCCTGGGGCAACCGACAAGTCTGTCAGACTGTAGTGGTTGCGCTTGTGATAATTGAGTATCGCCCCACCCGAAACATAGATTGTTTGATGTGAACGGCTACTTGTTCTTGAACACATGAACAGCATCCAACTGATCAACTTTCATACCTGTAAACATTTTGTCCTGCCAACGCCGCTACGATACCTTCGGATATAGCTCAGCGTTGTATCGCAAGGTTCATGACGATTTTGCTATTTCCCATGCCGAGTCCGAGGACACGGTCAGCTGGCGCGTGTTCACGATTTTCCGAAGCGCGGTTGAATCTTGGGCAGCTGCGCTTGTGAGGAAGGAGCTAAGCAGGGAAGATGACAACGCGCACGGTAGGCTGTGCTTCGTAATGGAGGGAGAGGTCTGTGTGGTGTTCGAATGCGAAGCGGGTGGAATTGAAAGTAAGAGTTTGTCGTTGTACCTGACCCTTCTATGCTCCTGCAGCTCTGCGGCCTTTTAGCACTGCCGTATAGATAAGCGATGATAAGACTACATTATAGCAGTATATAGCTCATTTCACAAGGTTCTTGGCGCCGGAGACGAGCTTGTAGTGAGCCCGAAATCATACCTCAGAACGTGCTCACGCTAGTTACCTCATTCTTCACGGCCGGCTGTTTGATTGCCAGATGCTGCTTCGAATGAGGTCCTTCTAGACATCAGCACCGAAGCTTCTGCACATATCGAGTTGAGTAGTACAACCGGTCTTTGCTCGAAAGCGACGTGACGCTCGGTTATACTGACTTCATTGGCGTACTGAATTAACATGAGCATGCTGATCGACCGAAACACCTGAGCAATCTATCTTTGCGAAACAACGAACACAATCTGAAATTTGTATAAGGGCGGAAGATAAAGACAGAAGTGTTTGTCACCGAGTCGGCCCACCTCTGAGATTCGGGGACTCCTGAGCCCAGAAATCGAGGTACGCAACGTGCATGACATCCAAAGTCGTCAGTTCGCATTTCGGTTCGTCAGCAAGTCTACGACGCATGTGTTGCATGTTATACAGACAGCTTTGCGACTTCAAAGCCTTGCAAGAGGTGGCCCTTCGGCAAGGAGCTTCTGCCTGGCCTTCTCATTCTGCGCCTTCCACCATTCCTTCCTTCTCTCATGCCCCGCCATGAAAACCTCAACCCACTTCTTGTCATATGGCGGCAGTCTCCTTCCCGGCTGCCCAGCCGCCGGCTCTCCAGCCAGCCTCCTCACTGTCTCAAAGTACTCCTCGAAGTCCGGGAACACCATTGTAAACCCCGGGCCGTCGCCCTTCTTGGAGATCCTTTCACGCTCCCACTTCTGCTGTTCTTCGAGCGGTGGTAGCCAGGCGCGTCCGGCGAGGAGACGCGCTGCGAGGACGGCTTGCCATTCGAAAATCTTAAATGTAAGGCCCGCGCCCACGGCTCCGACGAAAAGCAGGGTAGGGTCGTTCTGGTAAACGATGTGCTGGTAGAGGCCAGGGACGCGGTTGTTGTGGACTTTGATATTTGGAAAGCAGGGCAGGGACCAGGAGTAGCCTGTGCCGAAGATGATGTCGTCTACGTCTTCGACAAAGGTCCCGTCCGTGAAGTATACCGTCCTCTGGCCGTCCGAGGAGTCAATACGTGATATCGAGGGCTTCTGGGCGATGCCAGGGTGCTGAAACGCATGATCCCCGAAGTAGCCATTGGCTTTGTGACCAATAACCACGGCGTAAACAGGCGCTTTCGCTGCGCCGACAAGATCGTATGCAATATCTGCGCCTGAGACGGAAGCACCTACGATGACGACTTTCTAATCACGGTCAGCGAACGATGCATGCGCCACATTGACTGCGTCTCTCGTACCTTAGCTTGGTAGGCATCACGCCCGCGGAACATCTTGCTGTGCTTGACACTGCCTGGGTGCTTGCGCTCCAATGCTGCCAGGCCCTCAATTCTGGGTATATATGGGACGTTGAAGTGCCCACTGGCCGCGACCACGGCGTCGAACCACTCCTCCCACCACTCATCTTCACCTCTGACGTTGCCGTCTTTTCGCAACACCAATCTCCACTCATTGCCAACTTTCTCCGCCAGCTCCACGCTGGTGTTGTATGCCACTAGCTTCTCATAGCCATTGCGCTGTACGAGGGACTCGACGTAGCCACGGATCACCGCGTGAGTCCGGAAAGGTGTGTCGTCGCCATGCTTCGAGACCGAGAGTTGGCTTCGCTGCTCTGGGATGGCTTCCTGTGAGAACGACATGGCAAGGCTGTCGACATTGGTCTCGAGGTACGGGTACACCGAGGATTCAGCATAGCGTGCTTGAGTGACCTTCGGCTGTCGAGCTGGGAGCTCAGGAGGTGTCTGCAGTGGGAGATCGCCGGTGCGGTTTGCGAGCGCTTCGAGATCTTCGGGCAGGAGGTTTGGTGGCGGTGACTTGTCTTCCAGCCTGTCCAGGTGTCAGCCAAAGTGTCGTTGCTGTACGTTCAGGGCCTCTACCAGCAGCCACCCGGCGCTTCTCTCCGCTCGAAAACGCGGATGACGTCAAATGCCTGTTCCTGCGCCAGCGCGTCAATCGAGATAGCTCCAGACGGACCAAGTCCGATCACAGCAACGCGTTTGACAACCATAATGTCAATATTCGTTTCCCACGATGCACAAACAGCTCCAACGCGGGTCGCACAAGTTCTCAGTCGCTCCTAGGAGATCCGGAGAACTAATAAGAGACAAGCGTCGAGTAGCGTCAGACGACAACCCCCCACTCCATCGCATGCGAGGCACGTGGCTTGGCTGGTAAAGACGCGCATCCTGCTCAATTCGACGTTGCGTTGTTTGCGACATGCGTTCTGAGAATTGCGCGATCCTGGGTAGGACACTAAGTACCTAGTCCCGGATAGCTGGGCCCCACCGAGTACACCACTGGACGCCACGGTGTGATGCTCGAGCGAGCACCAGCCATTGTTCGCTAAAGAAGACCAATACATCTTCGACGCGACGAACGATGAACCGGTCATCTGCATCGCGGTTGGCACAGTAAGGGACGGCGAAAATGCCTCCCCTAGAAGCCCTTGGGCTGCACGCAAGTTGGTGACAGCCTGACAGGATGGCGAACTGCTCGAGTACAAATGTTGATTGAAAGCCCCGAGATTGTGTATAATCCAGACGTCCCTAAACAATTTCTCCATAGCTCGCTTCCAGAGGATTGGTACTCGGAGGGCCGGAGGGGATGACACCAAGATATCAAAAAGGTGCATACAAGAGCGGGTCCAAGAGCGACGCATCTAATACAATGGACGCTGTTGACGTCGACTCGAGCAAAGCAACGAGGCATGCAAGGCAAAATTAGGTACGTCGTTTTTGCTGCTGTGGCATCGTTGACCGATCCAGGGTCCATACCAATATCCTTCCTCTTGTTTTCTTGGGCCTGCTGGTCTTCTAGGTTGGCAAGATGTATCTCGCAAGTGTCTTGACCGACGGGTTCGCCAAGGGTATAGGCGTAAACCAGAACGCGATTGAGTTTAGAAACCAGTTCATGTAACCCGGAATCGTTCCACCAATGATCCCTGCGAACATTGTACTGCAACGTCGGGGACCCAGGAAGTGCAACTTGGCGCAGGTCTTCGATTTCGTTGCCATTGCAAAATTGTGAGTGATCATCGAAAAGAAGACTGGGTGGCTCGTGGCTCGAGACTTTCTCGGTTTGTATGTCTGGAGATAACACAATCATCCCAGTGTTGGCGAGTGGTATCCTACAGCTGGGTTTGCGTGTGAGTACGTCGTACCCTTCCTTGCAAGGTGCCAAAGCCTAACGATACGCTAGATTCTCGATGATCATCGCAGCCATCCTCCTCTTCCTTCTCCTGGCATTCTGGACGGTCCTCAGCCTTTGCTGTTCCCAGGACTGGTTTGCTTCAAAGATGCCGACCGCGACATTCTTAGGCAGCATCTCGAGGCATATGATAGAGAGAAGCCGCATGATGATCTACTGTTCTACAACTGAGGCTCGGCGATTCAGACGATCTTGGTCGTCGTCGACTTGATTTTTGCCATCGTGCAGGAAGGGGTACACAATCGTACAATCGGAAAGCTTTAACGAGGTGGAAATAGGACGGCGGCGAGGAACCATGGCTGTACTGTACACTCTGTAATTGACAACGATCTTAAGGTTGCTTACTGCGACTATACTGCTGCCTGATCGACGGATGCTTCAACCGTTTCTTCGACGCTTGCCGCTTTGTCATGAACAGGGCCGCCTGTAGTCGACTTCCGGCCCCATTTACCTTTGTATTTGCCACCTTGCTGCTTGATCCTCTCTTTCTTGGTATCGGCGACATACCCACCTCTGAATCTTTGCTTGGGCCTCTCGCCTTCCACTGTAGCCTTCCTTCGTCTTGCCTCTTCGCTTCGACCGTTCACATGCCCTCTGGCCATAGGATTTGCAAGCACCCATGCCTCAAGCTGCGGGCGAATCTTAGGTCCCCATACACCTTCTCCGCCGTCAATATCCGCATAAGTAATCGCAGTTGTCAGATCCGGCGAATCTGGAGGATCTTGCGTGGTGTAACTTGCCTGTCGTGTGCGAAGCAGAGTCGCCATGTGGGATCTAGACTGACAGGCAATGCCCAGATCATGCGCAAAGCTTCGGACATAGAAGCCTGAACAGACAGTCAATCGTATGCGTGCTGCAGGTGCGGTCGCTGGCTTCTCTTCCCCTGGATATTGGAGAACGTGCTGGCCTGCTTCGTACCATTCGAGCAACATGCACTCGTCAACAAGCATTCCCCTACTCTCGAGCTGTCTCGGCAGCGCCTGCCCATTGCGTACATATTCACAAGCTTTCTTGCCGTCGATTTTTAAGGCCGAGTAAATCGGTGGGGCTTGCGAGATAGTCCCTCGAAATTGGGCAAGCTGCGCTTCTACTAAGGTTCGAGTAACATGTGCGCAATTCGCTCGCTCGGTGACCACACCTGTGCAATCATAAGAGTCCGTGCTTGCACCGAACAGTACTGTTGTCTCATAAGACTTAGTGCAGGCAAGGTACTTCTGCAGCTGCTTCGTGCCTCGACCTATGCCAACAATGAGCACGCCTGCAGCTAGTGGGTCCAGCGTCCCGCCGTGGCCCATCCTGAAAACCTGGCCATCGCTTTTGCTGGTCCTTTTAGGCTGAGTCCGTAAGAGTGGTGCATATATCTGGGATGACGCAAATGTTGCCTGCAGCTTCTCAAGGACTTCTGCTGATGAAACATGGGCTGGCTTGTTGACAGCTGATATAAATCAGCGAAAAGACTAAAATGTGACATGACGGGAGACTCACCAAGTATCCCTTCAAGTACCATCCCCTCCGGCACTTCCATATCTGATTGTTGTTGGTATGAGGCGGCATCGTCGCAGGAAGTTTCATTTGACACTTGTCGCGCTACCCGTGGCCGTGCGGCCGATGAGCCAGTTCAGCCGATGAGCCACCCCAACGAGATATCAGCGATAGAAAAATGAAGCTGTAGAGCCACACTCAAAAGCTATTATCGCGAGAAAAGTTGGTGTATTGCTATACAGAGCCTTGCACTTCAATTGTGCTATTTATATTTGGCTGGTAACCGCGAGTTGCGGCCTCTCGCAGTGATTTTGGGTGGGGGAGACGCAGCTGGCGGTGCAGCGTCAACACGACTTCGAGCAGCCACAACACAACGACGCTTTGTCGGATTTTTTGCAGCACTGTGTGAGACTTTTCGCTTACGCTTGTT